CCGTAGTGATACTGCCTCGGAAACCCAAGGAGGGGTCGCTATGAGTCGGGGCCGACTCGACGGCACATAACAACAACAACAAATATATGGCACAAATAGACTATCAAGCATAACCCAAAATACACAAACAGCAGAAGAGAAACTAGATGAATGGTACCTTCTAAAAATTAAACTTTTATGTACTTCCAAAGACTTCTCCAAAAGAGTCAAAAGAGAACCTACACATTGGGGAATCAACAACTGGCAAGGACAAATCTGACAAGGGACTTATCTCTAGAATTTATAGAAAATGCCAATACCTCAATAACAAAAAGACAAATAATCCAATTAAAAAATGAGCAGAAGACATGAATAGGCACTTCACCAAGGAGGATACTCAAGTGGCCAACAATATGAAGAAATGCTCCTTATCATTAGCCATTAGAGAGATGCAAATCAAAACAACAATGAAATACCATCTTGCTCCAGCACTAGCAGCAAAGTTCAACAAGACAGAAAATAGCAAATGCTGGGGAGGATGTGGAGAGATTGGGACTCTCATACACTGCTGGTGGGACTGTAAGATGGTACAACCACTGTGGAAAGCAGTATGGCGATTCCTTAAAAAGTTGGAAATAGAAATACCATTTGATCCAGCCATTCCATTACTAGGTATATATGCTAAAGAAGTGAGAGCCATGGAAGACCAGACATATGCACACCCATGTTCATTGCAGCACTATTTACAATGGCCAAAAGTTGGAAACAACCTAGGTGTCCATCAACTGAGGAATGGATAACCAAACTACGGTACATACACTCAGTGGAATACTATGCAACCCTAAAGAATAATGTAGAATCTGCAAAACACCGGATAATGTGGATGAACTTGGAGGACATTATGCTTAGTGAAATAAGTCAATCACAAAAGGACAAATATTGCATTAGTCTGTTATTGTAAAAATCAAGGAAAGGTTTACATATGGAAGGAAATTTTCTTTGTTGGTTACCAGGGGTGGGAGGGTAGGGTAGGGAACACTGTTATATAGAGATAAGTGTTGATTTGGGTGAAGATAAGGGCAATGTACAAAATATGAGTGATCAACATAGTGGCACTGAGGAAGAGGAAGACATAGAGAGGTACACGGGATGTACAGACAACAAAGATGAACCCTTTTGCACATACAGTAATGCATTGTCAGTGAAGGCAAACATGGCTATATGGGTGGATAGATGGGTGGGCAGGCTGAAGTATCAGGTATATCTACGCAGCAGGGAGTGTACCAAGGCCATATATAGGGTTGGAAGACAAAGGTTCTACAAGTGTATTTGTATGTTCTGTAAGAATTCCCAGGGGTATAGTAGAGCTGGCAAGGGACAAGGTTGTAGTCACTTCTTGGTCACAGCCAGCTACCCAGAGGGAGCAAGTAGTTGAACCTGTGGGCTTGGCACCATAGTCACAGGAGACATCAAGCTCAACTGGCATAACATACTACACAAAACATTGTTCCACCTCCTACTTTGGGGAATAGCGACTGGGATCTTTAAAGCTTGCAAGCAGCCATCTAGATGCAATGATGGGTCTCTCCTTGTCCAGAGCAAAGAAGAATGAAGAAAACCAAAATTCATGGAAACAATTAATTCTAGCAACTGGTACACCATCCGATCTGCAGCCTATACGAATATGAGATCAGAAGAACTAGATGGTGCCCAGCTACCACTCTCAACTACTCGGAGGGGGATCTATGTAGGA